TGGGCTCAGAGGAGGGCCGATTGGGGAGTTGGGGCTCTGCCCCCTGTCATGCACAGAGCAGGGCTCATCAGGGCGGTTGGGGCTCCGTACCCTGTCACACACAGAGCAGGGCCGGGCCGGGCGCCGACCCCAACCCACCCCGTTGGCGTACCTGCCCAACCTCCGCCCGGGGCAGTCTCCCCGGGACGCGCCTCCCAGCCACCCGGGCTCTGCTGCCGGGTTCCGGGCAGCCCGGAGTCCCCTCGCGCATGCACGCAGACATTCGTCCCATAACCATTCATTGGGCACCTACTACGTGCCCGGCCCTGAGTGATTTCATACCTAGGAATGTCAAGCAGTCGGCTCAACACACCTGTGGAATGAGGCGTCGTCTTGTCCAGAGGGTCCTGCTGTCCAGTGCTCACCCCCGTCCACTAGTAAGCTTAAACCTCCTTCCCAAGGTTTGTGGGGCCCCTGCCTCATCTCTTCCACCTCATCGCACACCTGCCCTCCTGCAGCCCAGGCGCTCCTTTCTATCCATCACACACTCAGGGCTTGGCCAGCCTCCGCAGGCCTTTCCCTCTCTGCCCAGCTTTTCGTGGCTGGCACCTTTTCATTGTACAAATACACTCCTGGGAGAGACCTTCCCTGACCACCTTACCCGTTAGCTCCCTGCCTGTTCTACTTCCCATGTCCTCACTTTCGTTACTTCACATGTATCACAATTTATCCATTAATTCATTCAACAAATAGTTATTAGTCATCTATTCTGGTTCTTCATGCGTTGGTGACCAAATAGTCAAAAATCCTGTCCTCTGATGGAGTTTGGGGATGGGGGGGAGGGGGTCGCGGCGAGGGGGAAGGATAGGCAGGTGACAGACAATAAACATACCAGCATATAGTATACTTGAAGGTGATAAGTTCTACGAGGGGAAAAGAACAGGATGAGGAGAATTGGAGGTGGAGGGAGTGCAATTTTCAATGAGGTAGTCAGATCAGGTGACATTTCAGCCATGCAGATAACCTGGCAGAGGGAACAGCCAGTGCAAAGACCCTAAGGCGCAGGACTGATTAGGCAAGAGTAGCAGGAGATGAGGTCAATGACTTATTTCCTCTAATTAGCTTATTCTCGTTGTGTATTATTCACCTCCGGGAATTTCAGCTCTGGGACTGCAGGGCTGCCTATCTTGGCTGCAGTGTCTCAGACACTACAATAGCACCTAGCACACAGTAGGTGCTCAAAAACTATTTGTTGAATAAATATGTGAATGAAGGAGTGTAGTGTTGGCTGGAACCATCCTGTCCGGACCCGATGCCTGATGTCCAGGGGGTCGGTAGGCCTAGGGCCATAGGGTGGCAGAGGGCAGCACCTGGTACCTCACTTCGACCCTTGACCCTTGTCCCGGAGCAGCGCCACTGCTGTGGACACCGCTGGAGAGTGGCCTCGGGGGAACTACGACAGAGCCAGGGAGACCCAGGAACAGGACCCGCCCCACGCCCCGCCCCGCCCCGCACCAACCTCCGGTCGCCCAAAAAACCTGGAGCTGCGGCGCCCAGCGGGCAACCTGAGACCGACGGGGAGCGCACTGGGCATGCTCGGAACCCAGTTGGGCCTGAGCGCCCGGGGGAGGAGCCTCCTGGCGGGGCAGGGGACTGCCCAGTGCTCAGCCCCTCTCCGGTCCCACCCACTCTTAGCTGAGGGTGTGGTGGTGTCGGGGACATTTTTTTTTCAAAGCTCAGTGGGAAAGCTGGGAATGTATGGTCTGTGAAAGACGTTCTCTGTCCTCTCCCAGCCGCTGTGTGATCTGGTGCATGCTCCTTACCCTCTCTGTGCCTCAAATAATACGAATATCTACCTCCTGGATCTGGCCTGCGCGTGGGGATTGAATGAAATTAAGAACGTGAGCGTGGTTAGCCCACTTTAAAGATCCATTTCTTGAGTGCCTACCTCAATTATCCCTCATCTTCAGACCAGTTTGCCAAGTGCTGAGATGAGAACAAAACTGCACTGGTGGACATGGGATTTCTTGGAGGCGTCTTAACTTGTCTTCCACAAGAAATTAGGTCGAAACTACCTTTTCTTTCCCCACAGTCAACAGCCATTAGTTTAAACGATGTTCTCAAATTCGAGCTAAAAAATATCCGTTCCCCTAAGGAAAAACCCAAAATATTTGTAAAATCGTGTGTTTCCAATTGCCACAACAGAAACAGGAACCAAGGGAAAGAATATCCCTCAGATTGGAAACAAATAAGTGTCTGAAAACAGAAGAATGGTTAATTAGGTTATGACATATTTGTTGAAATAACTATTTTACACTAAATTAGATCGTGTTGCAACTGGGGGAAACTTACTTGTACAATGTTAAGTGAAAAAAGGCTGAAAACACAAATGCACTGTGTAAAAATGTCTACACATTTGTCAAGACTTAGGAGGAAATATGGGAATATGTAATAGTCTGATTTTTAAGTTTATCTATTAATGTCACAATGTTGTGTTTGCAATAATAAAGATTTAAAAGATTAAATTAGAAATTCTTAAAGTTTTGTGTACGCCAAATAATAATAACAATAATAACCACTAATATTGAGCGCAAGTGTGATCAATACTTTACTCCTGTGTTGTCTTTAATCCTTACAGTCACTCTACAGAGTGGGTGTCTTTAGGTCAGTTTTACAGAAAAGAAACATTCAGGAGTTGTTCACAGCTGGTAAGAAACGGGGCCAGGATCTGAACACCACTTGCTCTGACCTCAAAGCCAGGGTGTTAGGTTTTATAATACTACCCCTCTGTGTAGTAGCTTACCATATATTGATCGTAAAAGAAACCACATATTATTCTATTATTCCATTTTGTGTGTTTTTTTGCCTTATTTCCTTTATCCTTTGATGTGTTTGCAGGCCATGGATTACCTTTAAACGTTCTAGTCTCCTGTCACTGTATTATTCTTGGGGCCAAAGTAATAAAGTCCATCCTTTCAGATCCTTGCCCCTGGAGTGACACGATGTTATTATCAGCAATCACAGTTGACCTTATGTCATAAGCTCCCAAACCTTATGCAAATGGGGTTATTAGATAGGCACTTAATCTTCCTAGTTTATGTGGGTGAACTCAGCTATATCTAGAGCAAATAGAGGGCCAGTGGGGAATAGGGCTCTACCAAGTCTCAGATAATGAGCCAGAGAGACCCACATAGATTACTGTTCCTGGCAATCACTTTGGAGGCAGAATCATAACATAATGGAATCACATGGTCCATGGACTCCTCAGGACTTTGCTATGATGAAAAGTAACAGAGCTGATAGTTCTGATGATGTTCGCCGAGAGAAAGCCAGGGCCCTAAAAGCAGCCTTCGTACTTCTGGTAAGCTTTTGTTTTTTGTGTGTTTTTCTTTAAAAGCTCTTTTTAAAATAGTGCTAGTAGACTGTACCTGGTCCAGAAATCGCTAAACAATAACAACAAATGCATGAAGCCAATGAGAGCCTTTTCCCTGAAAAGGAAGAAATTCCACAAACCCAATATGCATCACTGGTAATGGACCAGATTCATACGAGTGAAGAGGAACGACAGGCGAGCAACTGGACACAGTTATTAGCAGCGTTCCCAGAAGCTGCCATTTGGGCAGAAATCTGGTGCCAGAGTGCTGCACGCAGGCAATTGGCTGGGGGCACTTATAGGGAGAGTTTCCCGGAAGAATCACTGAGGATTGTCATTCACATCAAGACACAGGAAGTCTGGTCACTGGGTGGACTGTTTGAATGATTTACAGGGCAGGGCTCCCGGCTGAGATGCTAATGCTCATCAATTATTTGTGCTGTTAATGCAAGCTCACAAAAAGGGCCCACGCATCCCTAACTACGTGGGCAAGTGGTGCTGTTATAATGACAAGTGAAAAGAATGTGAGGAAAAATTACTTGCACAGTATGGCTTCAACTGTGTGAATTACTAGGTTAAACCACATAAAATTGCCATTTTGTAGGTCCACAATGCTTGAGCATTGGCAGCTTCCTCATTCCTCCGGAATGAGGCCCAGAAATCAGGATTTAAAAAAGATTCCCAGGTGATTCTAATGTGCAGCCAAGGTTGAGAACCACTGACTTAGAGGAATACACATTTTTAAGCCTAAAGTTTTCTCCATTAAAATATGTCTTTCCATTGCAAATGATCACTGCCAGAGTTGTGTCTGTAAAACTGATGAACAAATTTAGCATGAGCACAAAAGCAGCCATGAGGTGCTCATTCATCAGGTATTTATTAAACACCTACTGTGTGTCAGGCGGTGCCCTAAGTGCTTGGGTGACATCCGTGAACAAAAGAAACAACAATCTCTGCTCTTGTGGACATATGCATTCTAACAGGACAAGCCAGACAATGAACAACAAACATTATGAATAAATGAGTCATATTGTATGTTAAGACACCAGGGTTAAGGGTGCTAGGGAGAATGATGGAGGTGGGGTGAGGAGTTGCAATTTTAAATAGTATTGAGGAATTTAATGACTTAAGCAAACACTTCAGCAAAGGCCTGAAGGAGATGAGGGAGTTATTCACCCAGATATCTGGGGCAAGAATCTGGGCAGAGGGAATAGCCAGTTCAAAGGCCCTTAAGGGAGCATTCGTAGAGTAAGGGAGCTGGTGGAGCCAAAGAGGCAGCAGGGGCTAGAACCTGAGTCCCCCA